ATATATATATATACATATATAAACCATCTTGGGTGGCGCCTGTGGCTTAAAGGAGTAAGGCACTGGCCCCATATACTGGAGGTGGCAGGTTCAAACCCAGCCCCAACCAAAAAAATAGAAAATAAAAATAAAAATAAAAATAATATATATAAACCATCTTTAATCTTCTCTTCCCTTCATTTTACAAACACAATACACAAAGGAAAATATAACAGAAAGAAATAATCAATACCAGACCAGATGTAACATTTAACCAAAGTAAAATCGTATTGATTTTGTACTCAGCTTGAAATAATGCTTTTAGAAGACAGTATTTACCTGCTATAAAGAGCACAGTTACCCATTTGTGAACAATATTTACACGTTTTTTCTTCCTCGATTATTTGTGGCAAAGACGCAAGCTGTGTTTTCTGTCCAGAAACAGATTTACTAATACGGTGAAACGAAAAGAATGCCATTTGGTTTCTTAGCTTTAATAATTCTATGAAAAATAAAAGAGTTTATCTTTTTAAGAATTAAATGAAATTTATCACATATCTTTTTTATTATATAAGTAAAACTTTCAAAGTTAGAAAAACATTTTAAAAAGTAGAGAGCAGGTTGGGCGACATGGCTCACACCTGTAATCCTAGTAGTACTCTGGGAGGCTGAGGCAGGTGGATTGCTTGAGCTCACGGGTTCAAGACCTGCTTGAACAAAAGCAAGACTCTGTCCTTACTTAAAACAGAAAAACCGAGGCAAGAGAATCGCTTGAAACCAGGAGTTTGAGGATGCTGTAAGTTATGACGCCCCGGAACTCTACCAAGGGGGACAAAGTAAGACTGTCTCAAAAAAAAAATTAGAGAACATACATATTTCCCACTATATTAAAATAACTACTGATAATGTTTTGATGTATTTCCTTTAAGTTTTTGTTCCCTTGAAGAGTTATTTTTTTTTTAATTTCAGATTAACATTAAGGTACATATGATCAGGTTTCATTGTTTGCAATTATAAAGTCGAGTCTAAGCTGGAGTTGTGTCCCTTGATAATTTCTTTAAACTACATATCTAATAACTAGTAAGGACCACAAAGTTGGTGTTTTATTGGCTAAATGCTGAGGATAAATAGAACTAACAAGAATCGTGCTACTAAAAGATAGGTAATTCAAAATAAATCCTTTTTTTTTTTTTT